CGGGCCCGGCCCCCGCGCCCTCCCCGAGCGCGCGGGATGGAGACTGCCGTCGTGCCGCGCCCCGCCCCCAGCCCGGCCCGCAGAGCCCTCCTCTCCGCCCCCCTCCCCTCCGGATCAGGGACACCCCCACCCCCCTGCGGGGGAGGAGGAAAGGGGGAGCAGGGGCGCCGGCGAGGGAAGGTCGTGATTTATTACTCACTGATGATGGTGATGATGTTGGCGGTGGTGGCGGCGGGATTCTGGGGCCGTGGGGCGGGCCGTGGTGTTTTTTGCAGTTTTGAGCTGTTTCCTTTTCCATGTTTTGCTGTGTGCATGTGGGGGCGGGGCGGGGGGGAGGGGAGGGAGGGTCTCCCAGCCCGGCCCGGCCCGACTCCTGGAGAGGGGCCTCGAACACATGAATATAGAGTTACACTTACCAACCGACTACACCTATCCATCTCTCCTCTCTCTCCTCCCCCCCCGCCCCCCCTCTCTCTCTGTCCATGCTGGCTGTAAAGGGCCAGCCCAGGGCCAGCCTGCCAATCCAGGCCCGGCCCCAGACAGCTGGCACACATGCAGTGAACCAGCCTTAGAATTGACCAGCTAGTGGGGCTGAGGGGACAGAAGAGGCCAGGGACAGACAGAGCCTGCCCATGCAAATGGGCAGATGGCCTTAAGCAGGACAGCCACCCGTGTAGAGGCTGCCAAAACACAGCACACAACACCAGCCCCCGGCCTCTTCAAACTCACGCCCTTAGCCGCTCTGGTGACCCTAACCACTCAGGTGGCTGTGATATGAGGATGGGGGTTCGAAGTCCACCTGGGAAGGGAAGTCTGTGAGACTCCTCATCTCCAGTGGACCACCAAAAAGCTAGAAGTGGAGCTGGGGCTCAAGTGGTACAGTGCCAATCTGAGCAAAGATGCTGAGGGACTGCACCTAGGCCCTGGGGCCAAGCCCCAGGACTAGCACCTATGCACACACACACATTCTAGCTCTTGTGGGAATAACAAATACAGATTCCCAGGCATGGGGCTGGAGTACAGAGTTGCAAGACCATGGAATGAATGCTTTGCTAACTCATTAACTCAGCCCTTCCTCCTGTGGACAGTCCTGAGCATCTACTAACTTACTGATTGGTGAGTTAGGACCCTGGAGGTGACGCATCCCGACCTTTGCTCTCAGTTTAGTGTCAGCAAAAGCAGCAAACTAAAGCCATGCACTGGTGGCTCACACCTGTAATCCTAGCTACTCAGGAGGCTGAGGTCTGAGAATCATGGTTCAAAACCAACCCAGGCTGGAAAGTTTAGGAGACCCTTTTCCAAATAACCACAAAAAGCTGGAAGTGGCCCTGTGGCTCAAGTAGTAGAATGCTAGCCTTGAGCACAAAAGCTCAGGAACAGCACCCAGGCCTTTAGTTCAAGCCCCAGGACTGGCACTAAAAATGATAAAAATAAATAAATAAATAAAACAACAAACAAAAAACAGCAGGCAGGACAGCTTGTGCTGAGACAGGAATCACAGCGGTCACGAAGGAGCACAGAACAGAGCAACATCTGCGGGATGTAAGCAGGGGAAAGCTCCCGGGAGAATGTGGCGCCCAGAGTCTGAGCCTTAAAAGGACCAGCAGATGTCTGGCCAAAGCCCAGGAAGAGAAAGTCCAGCCCATGCTGGGGACCTTGCTAATGGCATCGGGGTTGTCAAGTGGAGGAGAGTCAGGGTGCCAACATGAGGTGAAGTATCTCAGCCTCAGGTGCAGTAACTGAGTACCAGCCCAGGCGCAGATGGTTAGGGAGCCACGGAGGGTAGAGTTCAAAGGCCAAATGCAGAGCCTGGAGGAGGTGGAAGGATACATAGGGCAGGTGGAGGGAAGGGGAAAGGTGGAGGAAAAGGAGAGGGTAAAACAGATTAAAACTTGGTGAAAGCTGGGCACTGGTGGTTCTCGCCTGTAATCCTAGCTACTCGGGAGACCGAGATCTGAGGATCGTGGCTCAAAGCCAGTCCCAGCAGGAAAGTCCGTGAGACTCTGATCTCCAAGAAACCACTGAGAAAACTGGAAGTGGTGCTGTGGCTTAAGTGATAGAGCACTCACCTTGAACTGAAGAGCTGAGGGACAGCACCCAGGCCCAGAGTTAAGCCTCACGACCGACCAAAAAAAAAAAAAACATA